CTGCTAGGTATTATTTTCTTACACCCCGAGCCCCCCAAGACCCCTGGCAACCAGGGATACTTTTTTCTCCCCCCTACTCCTCCAACCACCAAGGGCCCTTTTCTCTCACCCCAAGCCCTCCCAGGCCCTTCTGGCCACATGGGGCCCTTTTTTCTCCCCCTCCCAGCTCTCTCAGTCACCAGGATCCTTTTTCTCTCCCTCCCAGCTCCACCCCTGGCTGCCACAGACCCCTTTTTTCTCCCCCTGCCCCCAGCTTCCCCGGCCACTAAGGTCCCTTTTCTCTCCTTCACCAGCCCCCCTGGTTGCCAGGGGCCCTTTTCTCTCATCTCCCAGCCCCACCCCATGGACACCAGGGGTCTTATTACTCCCCACCTCAAGCACTGTGGCCAAACGCTGACAGGGGGAGGAAGGGAAGGGTTTAGGGTAGGCAGGCTACATGTGTGCTCTCAGGAAAAATGGTGGAGCCCCAGTTCTTCTGGCCACTCACTTGGTGGTACAGCTGCCTCCCGTGGACATGCCACAAGATAATTCCCCGTTGTACTCACTGCCCTCAGTGGCTACTCTCATATCATGTCTCTTTGAACAGCAGCACCTCCCTTTGCATGTTATGGAATATAGTCCTTTCTCCAGGACTCCTGGTTGTGCTGGCACATCCAAACTCTGACTTGACTTTAAGTTAGGAGAAGAGGAAGCTGCATACCAAATTTGATGACCCTAGCTCTTACCATTTAGGAGGTGTTCTTGGACAAACAGACTCACAAACCATATATATAGTTACAGTAAGGCTTAGGACCCCCAGTCAAAAGCCAGGACCTCATTGTTTTATACACTCTAAAATTCCAGAACACAAACATGGTCTTACTCTGATTTAGGTTTGATTATATATAACTTAAACAAGAACATTTGCAAGATATGAAAAACTAGACACTTGTTTGATTCCTAAACATGTAGCAATGTTTGAGGTTGTTCTCTTGAGGATCTTCTACTTTGCAAAGACTGTTCTTGAGAAAGAAATGAAAAAACAGTAAAACACAAAAAAACAATCAAGCCAACAAATCCCCAGAGGCACAAAGAGCTTGGAATAAATATTTCTCCATTTTAAATTATGTACTGGTACAGCAAATTATAATATGTAAAGCAGAATCTCTTGTTTTCCAAGATGTCACAATCTCTTCCTCAAGATAAAACAGAGCTAGACTAGCCTACATTCAGTGTAAGTTTTATTATTAAAAGATGAAAATAATTATTTCATGCAGAAAACAGGAATTATTTATAACTGTAAATATAAATGTGAGATATTTTACAACATTCCAATAGGAGCATTTACTGGCAAGTAGGTTAGTTATTGTTTGGAAATTATAAAATGTCAGACAACTAGCCTAAGAAACTAAGTAAATGTGAAGTGAGATGGATAATGAAAAGACAAACCTTTTGATGCAAATTTATATATAGATTCACATGCTTTAGCCAAAACTTCCTCTTCTGGAGAATTAAGCATAAGCACCACTGTTGCTGCCTTTTTGCTTTCAATCGATAAAGGATCAAACTACAAATACACACAAAAAGAGCATATTCTGAATCATACAAGATTTACTGTTCAATGCAGCAGCCCTACATTTTTTTAAATCAGACTTGATCTAGTCTGAGATTTACTGGCTAGTTAGATTTGTTAAAATGGCTTTTCCAACTACTCTAAAAGATTCATGGACAACATTATATTTTCATTTTTCCTAATAACAGCTTGAGCTTCTGCTGAAGTTAAGAAAGTAAAACTCACTTTTAAGATTTAATGTCAAATAAGTTATAAATTCAGTTAAACTAATTATATAGATTACACATGCAAAATATTAAATTACTTACCCATGATAGTTTCCAAAGCAGAGATCCTAAACTCTTGTTAGATCAAAACCCACTAACCCAGCAGTTCTTAAACTTTTTGGCTCCTCTAGGGGTGTCTGGCCAGGTGGGAGAGTGCAGAAGCAGGCTGGATGTAGGGTGTCTGGCCAGGAGGGAGGGTGCAGGAGCAGACTGGGGGTAGGGTATCTGGCCAGGTTGGAAAGTGCAGGAGAGAGTTTGGGGTAGGATATCTTGCCAGAGGCAGGGAAAGGGGGGCAGGGAGTGCCTGGGGACAAAGCTGGGGGTCAGGGTGGTTCGGAGGGTTCAGAGAAATGGGGGGCAGGGTACCCTTAGGAGAGGGGGCAGGGAGGCTGTGCATGGCATGGTATGGTAAGATGGGGAGTGGATGGGAGGATGACCCCAGGGTGTACAGCCTTGCTTGGAGTGGGGGCCTGCAGGGGTCCAATCCACGGCGTCCTCAGTGGGCGGGTGCTGAGGTGGCTTGGCCCCTCCCCCCAGACTGAGTCCCTGTGGGTGCAAAGCCTTGAAGGGCCCCAAGCCCCCAACTGCGTCCTGAGTGTGTGGGTTCCTCAGCCCCAGAGCCACCTTCTCCCACTGCTGCTAGATGTGACACAGCCTAACCAGTTGCTGGGGAACAGGTAAGGCGCTAGCCACTTGCACACAATGAGAGCCCGCCCTACCCAGCTGTGCCCTGTGCAGCCCAACCTGTTGCCTGCCCCACAGGAGCAACTGAGAGAAGCACCACTGTTACCATTGTGACCGTAAGCTTGGTGGAGCCTAAGGGAGGAGGACGCCCAGTGGCGGGCAGGACTTTCCCATGGAGAGGGACAGGTCGGTGCTCCTCCACCTGTAGCTCCGTGGCCCATGCAAGGGGTGTGTGAGTTGCTTTCTTCACCTCCGCACCCCCGTCCCCTGTGCCCCCTCTGAGTTGGAAGCTGAAACTGGTGTTGCAGGCTTGCATCTGCACACCGACCACAAGGCTGCAATGGCAGCAAGGGCTCCCTGCTGCTTGGAGGGGCTTAATGTTTAATGATTAACTAATTAAACAGTTAACAGGGGGTTTAAGGCTGCACTGATCCATTTTGTACAATATGATCTCCTCAGTAAGCCATTCTGTTTAAAGGCCAGTAGCAGCTGTGCTTTGCTGTTTTTCCAAGGAATGTATTGCCAGTAATTACAAGTTTCCATAAAACTCTTTCTAAGTAAGCACATTTAATCTTAAAGTAAAAGGATTACAGAAAATACATAATGAAAACAATAATCACATTTAAAAACACTACATTTTTATTTACACTACAGCCCAAATCAACACTCTGAGGGTATGTCTACACTACCCCCCTAGTTCGAACTAGGGGGGTAGTGTAGACATACCCTTAGTGTAGATGCACTACCTAAGACTTAGGGTGTGTCTAGACTACAGGGGGTTTTTTTGGGGGGGGGTCGAAAAAAGTGGCCTTTTTTCGAAAAAAATTCCCCTGCATCTAGACTGCTGCCGTGTTCTTTTGAAAGTAAATCAAAAGAACATAGCGGGTTTTTTTTTACTGCGGAAAACCTCGTTTTACGAGGAAGAATGCCTTTTTTTGAAAGTGCTCTTTGGAAAAAAGGTGCTATGTTGGCGGCGCCGGCTTTATGCTAATGAAGCCCAGGAAATTCAAATCCCGGGCTTCATTAGCAAGTTCAGTATGCATACATTACCCCCCTAGTTCGAACTAGGGGGGTAGTGTAGACATACCCTTCGATCAATCCACTGGTGTTCAGTTTGGCAGGTCTAGTTAAGACCTGCCAAATTGACCACACATCACTCTTCCATCAACCCTGCCAATCTACCCCAGACAAGAGGAGTAAGGGAAAAATCAATTGAGATTTTCTCCCGTTGACCCCCCGTGATGGTGAGTCTGTGGCAACTCGACTTAAGAGAAGTTCACATAGCTGGAGTTGGTTAGCTCGTAAGTCAACTTTCTGTTGTACAGCAGATGTAGCCTAAACATACATCCATCAGATTTCTTGGGCACTTGTAGGCCACAGTCTTTCTATCCCTTAAGAGTTAAGGCCTCCATTGGACAGAAGGTCCTGACTATTTGCTGAATCAGAAACAAGGACCAAGTCAGTTCAAACCCAGCCTTTTTATATCAAAAGTCCTTTGTCTGTTGGTCTCTGGAAAAATGGTATTTTCTGGAACCAGTCTAAACCAAGCCGCCTGGGGTGGCAGGGAGAGGTTTTTTATAACCTGAGTGATTCACCTTAATCCCCCACTCTCCTGTTTTTGATTCCTGGAGGAGCTGTGATCATTCTCTCTTGTGGAATTGTATATAATCACTGGACCACAGTGATACATACCCTTAATACAATATGGTCCCCCAAAATATTACATGTGGTTGTAGTAACAGCCTCAGTGAATTTTGCAAATACCTGTCTGATAACATGGGTGAAACTCTGGTTCCACTAAAGTCATATGTGAAAACCTGAAATCTTCACACTTCCTTGTATATCTAGAAAGTCCTGAAGACAGTAATAACTATGTGATTTCATCATGCAGAAGAGGGAAACTTTTGCACAGATGCGGCAGTATCAGCCACTGAGCAGCCTGGGGGAAAAATTCTTTGAAGAGCACACCCTTGTAAGGAACCCATGAACTCAGGTGTTGTATGGGGAACAGGAGTTTGCCCTGGTGCACACTCTGCTGCACTGCTACATTGTAATAGCTTTTTAAAAATAAAATGATCCTTCTTGTACCGTCTTCTCCTAAGATCCCTTTTTAAACACCCACTCTCCATGATCTTATGCTAGATGGAGCATTACCCTGACACATTCTCAATTCAGACAGCTGGAAGTGGTACAAGTGTTTGTTTCCATTCCTGACCTCTTACAATCAGAAAGAAACCTTCCATCAAATCCAGCTGCTCTGATCCTAGTAATAGACTCTTTCAAACTGACATAGCTTGAGAAAGGGCAAATTTTTAAAAAGCTTTTTGTTCTTTATTTAGACTGAAGTATTTCTGAAGACTTTAAAATTGAACCATGAACAAAAAAATAAGTTTTTTGCTTTAAAAAACAGTACAATTTTTGAAACTTTGAGAAAACGGTCTTCTGTCCTAGCTATATCACATTCAATGGCTGTGTCAGAGCATCTGTATTAGAAAGGCTAATATGTAGCAGACTGCTAAAATTATGAAGATTTCCTGTAAAATGTACTTTTATTTAAAATACAGTAAATTAAACCATTTAAAATATGAATAATTGCATATATATTATATATTCTGTTAGTACTAGTATATTATTAAATATTTTAATACAATATAATCGCACACCTAAAACCATTTATTATTTGTTTTGCTATACTATTCATTATTGTATTTTCATACCACTAATATATCAGTATTCCATGTTGCTAAATAATCCTGAATGCTGAGGTGACAGAAATGTATATATATAATTCATCAGCCAAGGATATCACTCAGGACCAGTTAGATCACTCAGCTCTTAGACTAAACTGCAAGGTGTGCTAGAAGAGAGTAGATGAGGACACAGGAAGCTTTTTGCCGCCTTTCTTCAGCATACATGTGCAGCAGAAGTAAGGCATAATATGTTCCTATAGTCCAATCCTACAAATTCCACCTCACATAACTAGTCTTTGCCGTGTCATTACTGTCCATTGGCTTCAATGGGCAACTCACCTGGGTAAGAGTTTGCACTGGCCCCCCTAAAACGATGAGAGGATTGCTTGGCTAATGCACTTTTCTGTGCTCATGTCCATCAAGCAGTTTGATGAGTTGGCTTGACAGTATGGCCCAGCAACCCCCATGCAGTTCATGCTGTGATCAGCAGCAGACATAGAAAGTAGTGCAATTAATTAATCATCACACCAGCTCTGTGAGGTCTGAACATAGTGAGCTCAATTCTGACCCAAATGCACAGTCCAAATGACAGGTATATGCCCTGGAGATCTCTATGGGAATATTTTCCTTAGGCTGTAGTGAGGAAGTACAGCCACTCCACAGCCTCTACAACAGCCTCAGAACTGCAACAGCGCTTGGATTTGGTTCACTCTACCTGCATGGCAAATGGCCACTGGACAGCTGAGGATCTTTTTCCTGTCCCAACCCAAAAATTCTCAGTGTTGGGACATAGGAAGTTATTTTAGAGAAGAGCTATGTGATAAATACAAGATAAAGAGCGAGACAAACCTGTTCTAGCCCCCGCCCCCCTTTCCAATTGTTTGGATCAGGGCCCTTTGATGCAGTCGAATTTTAACAGATTAATGTCCTATCCCCCATTTCTACCTCTGCATTTCAGTTTGAAAAGATCTGGGACTGTCACAGGGTAGGACTCATCCCCATGGCACCTCCTGTTGGTCACTTGGGGAATCAGCTTTCCTGACTCAGAGTGCCCCTCTGCTGGTCAGTCCCAGCCTTTGTTGCAGGTCTTCAGCTGGTTCAGTCCTGTGTCCCTTCCCACCCACAGTGCCTTTTCCTATTAGTACTGTCCTATGTCAGTGCCCCTGCAATCTGGGGTCTTTCACTGCCTCTGTACTCTAGGGTCCTCCCTTCCCAAGGAGTCCCCCATTCTCCTATACCCACCTTGCCTCAGTGTCCCACTGCCAGTCATCCTCTAGCCCCTGCCTCAGGGGCAAACTGCAGTCTGAAATGGCCACTCATCACTGTCAAGGGGCCTTCCTATCAGCCTGCCTTT